AATTAGTAACACTTATGGTAATTATCCTAAGTCAAAATAAGCAAAATCCCGAAATTCCCTCTGTCTGACTGCCTGACTCGCCGAGTCCCTTACTGGACTCGTCGAGTTCATCCTACTCGGCGAGTCCTCTTTGGGACTCGACGAGTCTGTCAGACAGAAGGCCAAAAAAACGAATTCAAGCAATGAACAATCATACAATGCATCTAATACAATAGAAACCAAGCAAGACTCTGATACCACTGATGGGTTTTGAGCAAAAGAACATCCTATGTGCACATGCAAAACCCTAAATCTTTGGATCTAGGTTTCTCTATTGTACATGCAATTCATCCAGAGCTTGCAAACCCTAATCTAGCATACTATTAAAATCGAGATCTATAATAAAAAGAGTTTAGATGATACCTTTCAATAGTTGCAAGAATCTTCAATCTTCAAGAGCTTAGTATCACACAAGTGTAATACCTCTAATGGCTTACAAACACCAAAGCAAGAAGATGATCTAGAAGAGAGGGAGGAGGAGCACAATTTCGGCTATAGTAACTCTGGGGTTTCTAGGTGTAGCCGAAACTGAAGCCCTGGGGTTCCTTAAATAGCTGAGCTGCTAGGGTTTCAGTCAAAACCCTAATTGGATGACTTAGGCCCTAAGCAGCTTAAGAACCTTCTGGAATAAGGCCCTTTGGACGAAATTAGAGTGGGCTTCCACTCCAAATTTCGTCCCCCTTATGCCCATGAGGATTCACAGCCCAAATTCAATTATCTTATAATTGACAGTTACAGTCCCCCTTATTTAATTAATCTCTTTTAGTCACAAAATCAATTCTTATTTAAATCTTGACTAATATTAATTAAACTATATGATTTCCCCTCTAATATATTATTCATATAATATACTAATAAACCATAATAACCTCTCCCTCTCCATAAATCATCCTGTCCAGTTGCTTCGGTGAAGGCAACCCAAAAGGACCATGCACAACCGGGTCAAGTACATACCAAATATAGTTACGGGCTTAGACACTAATCCAACAGATGCGTCCTAAAGCTGTTTAAATAAATCGTCAATCCTCAGGAGTGGATAACAGTTCTTCACCGTTAGCTTATTCAGCTCCCGGTAGTCGATACACATCCGATGTGACCCATCTTTCTTCTTCACAAACAGGGTCGACGCTCCCCATGATGAACTACTCTTCTGAATGAACCCTTTGTCTAACAACTCAGGCAGCTGTGTAGACAACTCCTGCATCTCTCGAGGTGTTAACCGATAAGGTGGTTTGGCTATCGGAACCGCACCGAGAACAAAGTCCATTTGAAACTCCACTTGCCTCTCCGGAGGCACTCCATGCAAGTCATTAGGGAACACATCCGAATATTCCCGAACAACCGACACATCATCTACAATCACCTTACCCTTCTCCCAGGAATCCATAACATAGGCGACAAATGCGGAACAACCCTGTTGAATATAGTACCTGGCCTAAGCCGTTGAACATAAAACTGGCCTACGCTGAACACTCTCTCTCTCTCTCTGGACCACTAACTATCCCCCACTTGGGATCTGAACATGTACCATCTGACGCTCGTAATCAATCACTATCCCATTGGTGCTCAACCAATCCATCCTCACAATAATCTTGTTCCCACACAAAGGAATAGGAATCAAATCAATCGGGTACCGCTCCCTAAACATCTCCAGTACATATCCTCGATGAACCCTCGATATTAGGACAGAACGATCATCAGCAATCTCAACCTCTAATGGACAATCCAGCTCCCTTGGAGCATCAGCAAACCTCTTGTTGATGGCAAGAGATATAAAGGATCGGGTAACCCCCGAATCAAACAACACCAAAGCAGAGATACCGTTCACAAGGAACGATCCTAAAATAAAACACACAGATATAAGAAGAAAATCAACATAAATAAATAGATAAGGAAAAGAGACATATATGTCACCACATCTGGTGTTGCACGAGCCTCCTCGGCTGTCAGCTGGAAAGCCCTGCTCCTCACAACAGGCGCATCCGCCTTGCCATGACGGTTATCTGTGATCCTCAAAGTTGCCGGAGCGAGTAATACAACTGGTCCCGCTGCTGCTAAACTCGGGCAATTGGCCGTCTTTTGGACCCTCTGATTGCAATGAAAGCAAATCAGACCAGATACCTAGGTGGTGGTGACAGTGCAATCCCTGCTGAAATGACTTGTCTTGCCGCACTTGAAACAGCCATAACCACCCACCCTGTACGCCCCATCGTGCATCTTGCAGCACTTACTGCAGGGGCCCCGATCCTGCTGGGCCCTCGACCTTGAATCAAAAACCTTGGGCCTCTTACCCGAACACTCTGAACCTTCAACCTGATTCGACTTCCTCTTCCTCTCCATCTCAAAGTCAATATCCCTATCCCTGGATCGCGCTATCATATCCTCCAGTGCCCTGCAACTGGATCGGCTCAAAATTGTCGGATATCGCTCCTCGGCATCTTGTGGTATCTCGCCTTCTTCATCTCCTCGTCTGCCACATACTGTGGAACCAGTAATGCCCTCTCACAGAACATAGTGGTGATCTCCGCTACCGTCTCAGTAGTCTGAAGAAAGTCCCGAAACTCCCTCGCCAATTGCTGGACCTCAATCACAGGTGCTAACTCAGCCTAAAATCTCGTCACAAAATCCTCCCAAGTCATCGACTCATTCACCTCACCTCCCAAGGCTTGACCAACCTCCTCCCACCAGTCTCGAGCTCTTTCCTTCAGAAGACAGGATGCAAGTCGAATCTTTGCCTCCTCAGGACAGAGGCTAGATCGGAAGGCGTTCCCGACGTCTTCTAACTAATGCATTCTCGCAATCGGGTCCGTCTTCCCGAAGAACTCCGAGGCTCCACATGCCCGAAACTCACAGAATGTCAAAGTGTGAGCACCCATCATCGCCACCATCTCAAAACGAAAAGTGCCCAAGCGCTCATCCAAAATCTCCAAGATACCCTCCTTGACTGTGCCGAAGATCACAAGAGTCTGCTCAAGAATATTGCGAGTAATATCTGATGAAATGAACTCCAACATATGATCATCCAAATGTCCGAACCCAGAGCCCGAACTTGAACCCTCACCGACACCATAACCACTACCAGATCCTCCTAGAGTGACCACCATATTGAAAATAGACCATTCAAACCATCAGAACACACGCAAATTATATATACATCGAGGAATCCCATACTCTAGAAGCTTCCTGGTATCATCGCAACTTTCCTTGACTCGAGTACGGATCCTCTTCTTTCAGTAGTACGGGCCCATACTACCTTCCACATCTATACGTACTGTCCTCAAGGATTGCCCCAAATCCTCCAAGTTACTCCATTATCTATACATACAGCCCTCAACAAGACAATGCTCCCAACATCAAAACTCTTCCTAGGTTTTCCTAGGGCAACCTCCACACTACTCTCCGCCATCAGCTGCAGAAGGAACTCCCCTAACACCCTCTAACTAGCTCACGAATACAATTACATATCACTGACACCAGATAATTCTTCGAATGAAAGGTCTCACACTACAACAGTTGGACTCAGACAAGAGCTGCGCAATAGAGTTAAAACCTAACCTTTTAAAATTATCTAGTCTCAATAATATGTAACTTAGCATATTCGCTTACTAGTTAAATGAAGTTAATGGGAACTCCTAAAAGCACGAAGAAAGCAGCATTCGAGCATCGAGTAATCGAAAACAAGCATAACCTAATCAGACCATCCTATCACTGGCTGATCAGTACTAGCATGCAAGTCTACAAGCTCATACAGTAGGCATACAAAGGCATCTCTCCTAGCATTCTATCATGCAGTCCTAAGCAGATCCTTAGCCCTGATCTAGCATGCAATTCACGGGTTCACAATTCAAAGCATAACATAAAACATGTATGGGTATTTTGGTAAAACTTACTTGAGCTCGGTCGATTGCATGCACCACACCCCTTTCTTTTGTTAGAAAAATCTACCAAATCCTAAGTTTGAGTTCAGACACGCCCGAGGGTGTGCTTGAATTTCTCAAACCAAGGCTTTGATACCAACTTGTAACGTCCCAAAATATAAGACACAAATTTTTATTTTTGTAATAATAAAACCATCATCCAAAACGTGTTTATAAAAACATAAAAGAAAATCAGAGTATGTAAATAATCATCCAAATACATCAAGTCAACAAAATACGAAACAACATGGTGAGTGCGATGCGATCATCCCGAGCCCTTCTCATTCGATTCAGAAGTACCAGAAACATAAAATGAAAACCGTAAACACGAAGCTTAGTGAGTTCCCCAAAATACCTCATACCAAACATATCAAACATACAATGGGCCATGCCCAACAATCATCAGGCTCCGCCCGACATCGAGCCCCGCTCGGAACAGATCTGTTTATATCCTGTGATGGGCCCCGCCCAACACACCCATCAGGCTCCGCCTGGCATCGGGCCTCGCCCGACATACATACAATATATAAAATACATGCAAAAATTACTAAGATAAAATAGCATACAATACACTCATCAGGCTCCGCCTGGCATCAGACCCCGCCCAATATACATATCTCATACCACACATACAAGATTCACACAATCCTAATCATAATAACTCATGGGTCGGCATAGGTACCTTCGACTCGCTAAACACTGTGAGGAGACTCACCTCAAACTGCTGAAAATCAGATAAATGCTCGGACTGCTGATCCAGAAAAATCCCCGCGCTAATCAATCAAATAAAACCTCAATTAATAATTGGGCTATAAACCATAACTAGGAATATCATTCATTTGTCCAACTTCCAGGGTAAAAGACCATTTTACCCTTTCTTCACTTGGCCTAATAACCGAGGCCCAACCTAATGGTTCCAAAAGCCCAATAAGACCCAAATTCCTAAATGAGGCCTAAAGCTCATTATGGGCCCAAAGGCTAACAATGGCCTAAAGTCAGAAAGACTATTGGCCCAACAAGGCCTAAAACCCTAATAGTCCAAATATGGCTCAAATCGCAAAAGTCAACAAAGTCAAGGCTGCTGAGTACGCCCGGTGTACTCAGACTTACGCCCAGCGTACGCCATCTTTGGCCAGTACTCGCGGCGTACGAGCTGGGTACGCCCAACGTACTCCGCAACAATACCAACTTGCCATTAAGTGCTTAATCAGTTAAGCCACTAGGTTTAATTCTCAGATCTCACCCTAAATGATGTCTTAACACGTAAAGTTGGCAACTTTACTCCTTTTCATGTCTTAATGGGACCCAATACTCAATAAAATCCATAATAAGAACCCTAACTCATGCATGGTCCACTATAACTCATCAAGATTGCATTTTTATGAACAAGGGACCAAACCCCGCCTTTTTCTTTCTTTCTTGGATTATTAATTTTTTTTAAATAACTTTTTTTAAATTTATTTTTATAGAATTATTATTTTTTTTCATCATTCAGCACAGTCAATCATATGTACAATCAAACATCATGGTTTCTTTCCCAGTCAGAAAACTTTCCAAGACAGCTCTTTATCAGACAACACTTTCTCAGACAGAAACTATCAAACGGGACCTTAGTCTTTTTAGTTTTTCAAGGGACCAAAACCACAAACAAACCTGCTCATTAGGACCACAAATTCAAAAGTTTAGTGGTTTGAACATTTTTTTTGAAAAAAATACATACCACATGGATCATTTTTGCAGTTTTGTCTTAACTTTTTTTGCTGTTTTTTTTTTCTTTCATCAAACGTTTTTTAAACCAGTTAACAAATGCATCCACTATCATACTGTTGAATCAAAACTATAAAATATTTTGTAGCACTAGTCCATTATTTAATAACATCTCCCATAATTACATCAAATATGCATATAAAAATATAAATCCTAAACATTCATAATAGTTTTGTTTAGATCTATGAGATTAAAGCTTATGGTTTTCTTAAAAAAATCTTAACATCACATATAAATACATAAAACTATATATAGATTAGAAAATCCAAATAACAAAATGATACCACACACTAAATATCCAAAGATGGTATTAAATTTTGTTATAGAAAAAGAAAAAAGAAAATTGAAAAAGACTTGACGTTTCCAGTTGGCCTACTTTCTCCCACCCCAATTCCACCCCAAATCTTTCAAATTTTAGTAATAAAAAAAATCCAATTTAGTCAGAATTCTCCTGCCGTTGATGATCCCACTGTCTTTCTGACTCTCTCTCCACAATACAACCGGCACAATACTACTTGCAGTTGCCGGCCAACACCCTCAATCCCCAAAGATCGTATGTTCATCTTCTTTCTTGATTTCTCACACATAATTGTATAACACACTTTGTTGTTGTTGTTGTTGTTGTGTCACCGACTGTAAGGAGTGTAGAATCTCGGTTTAATTTCAATTTCACAGGTTGGTTTCTCGAATTGTAGTCTCATGCTCAAGTTCTTCAGGCGAATCGGTGAAGTCTAGATTCGCCAGATCGCACTCGCGGATTGAATTTCTTCAAGTTAATTGTGGGGTTTAGGTTTGTGGGTTTTGATTGATTTTCAATTTTAGGGGGTTTTAGTTTTAGTTTTAGGGTAATGAGTTGTTGATTCTCCTCGATTACTTGAGGATCGGGTGAAGATATTGCGATGTCGAATCCGAAAGTAGTCTATGATGGGTGGATGGTGCGATATGGGAGGAGGAAAATTGGGAGATCTTTCATTCATATGAGATATTTCGTTCTTGAATCAAGGTTGCTTGCTTATTACAAGAGGAAGCCTCAGGACAATGTGGTAATTGTCTTAACCTGTGATTGATATTGACATTTGACATTTGACATTTCTTCTAGTATATTAATTGACGCATTCTTTCTTTTCTCAATTAGGTTCCAATCAAAACTATGGTTATCGATGGCAACTGTAGAGTGGAGGATCGAGGATTAAGAACACAACATGGCCATGTGAGCATCTTTCAGTTTCTAATCAATTTTGTTACATCATATAATTTGGATTCTGAAAGTGTATGATCTATAAACTATAAACCCTTAACACAATGTTGATGTTGCTTCACTTATTTGAAACAGATGGTATATGTTTTGTTAATCTACAGTAAGAAGGACAAACACAATCGAATTACGGTATATTATCTTTTTCTTTTTCTTTTTTGTCAAATGATGTTCAAAAAGTACTTAAGAAAGAACAAATTGTTCTTGTTTTAGATGGCAGCTTTCAACATCCAGGAAGCACTTATTTGGAAAGAAAAAATCGAGTCTGTTATTGATCAGGTATCTATATATCTTTCTTCCATTTTCTTTTTGTAGATATTTGTAACATTACATATGTTTTTGTGAAAGCTAATGATTTGCTAATCTTTTACAGCATCAGGAGTCACTGGTTGCTAATGGAAATAAATATCATTCTTTTGAATATAAATCTGGAATGGATAGTGGAAGAAATGCTTCCTCATCAGATCAAGAAAGCCAGTAAATCCCCCTTTTTTTTTTTTCTGATAAACAATATTTAAAAAAATAATTGAAAAAATGGATACTATTACTAATCCTATCATTATAAACATTTCTTGATTTGTAGATATAGTGCAGCTGAAGATGAAGAAGATTCACGTCCAAGTTTGATGCGAAGAACAACAATTGGAAATGGTAATTCTTCTTTTTCTCTTTTTCTCTTAATTATCTTTTTTCCTTTTTTCCATTTTCATTAATCAATTTATTATAACAGGTCCTCCTGAATCAATATTGGATTGGACTCAAGAAACTTCAACATTATCAAGCCAAAATAACCACAATCAGGCATTCTCTAGAAAACACTGGCGTCTCCTTCAATGCCAAAATGGTATCTTTTAATTTTTAATCTTCTAATTCAATTACTGAAAATAATTGGTATTTGGATTAATGATTATTACTTATTTATAATTATAATCATATCATGTAAAATTCCACGCAGGACTTCGTATCTTTGAAGAGCTACTTGAAGTTGATTTCCTTGTATGACCTATTTTCTTATACATAGTCTTATATTTCACATGATTATTAACATAAATATTTATTTATATGTTTTTTATTTGGAAATGAAGCCAAAAAGCTGTAGTAGGGCTATGAAGGCTGTAGGTGTTGTAGAAGCCAGCTGTGAAGAAATATTTGAGCTTGTAATGAGCATGGATGGGACCCGCTCTGAGTAAATATTTTATATTTATATTTCTAAATACTCTTTTCTCTTTTCTTATAATCAAATTACTAAAATTCATATGCAATACAATTTTATTTCTCTTAGACATTTCATCGAACACCTTGTGGTCATATCTACAGGTGGGATTGTAGTTTCCAAGATGGAAGCTTGGTTGAAGAGGTGGATGGACATACAGCAATTCTATATCACAGACTTCAGCTTGATTGGTTTCCAACGTAATAAATCAAATTACTATATTCTTTAATTATTTTGTTTCTTTTATATTTTATTAATATGTAAAATTGTAAACCTTAAAATGTTTTTAGATTTGTGTGGCCACGTGACCTTTGTTATGTGCGATATTGGCGCCGAAATGATGATGGAAGTTATGGTGAGTTTATGCATTTTTAATTTTTTATATTATACTCTTTTAGTTTTAACATTTTCATTTATTATTTTACATTTTTGAGGTTTATAATATTATTTTTTTGTTGTTTTGCAGTTGTACTATTTTGCTCAAGGGAGCATGAGAACTGTGGGCCCCAACCAGGATACGTGCGCGCCCATATTGAGAGTAAGTAATAATAAGTTACTTTAGACTGGACAAGCTTTCTAGGGATATTTTCTATAATGAGGAGGGCATTTACGTCTTTTTGCACATATGATTGATCGAAAGCGAGTCTTCCATCTTTTTTCGGTGGGACAATAAATTTTAGTTCTTGTCTTTTTTTGGATGCAACAAAAAGTTTTCAATTTTTGTCTTATTGACATTAAGGGAAATGCAGTACAACCTGTTATGTCCTGTCTTAAGTTTTTTAGATTGGACAAGCTTTCTAGGGATATTTTCTATAATGAGGAGGGCATTTACGTCTTTTTGCACATATGATTGATCGAAAGCGAGTCTTCCATCTTTTTTCGGTGGGACAATAAATTTTAGTTCTTGTCTTATTGACATCATGGCAAATGCAGTACAACCTGTTCTGTTTTGTCCTGTGTAACAATCGAGGCTTTAAGTTTTTTACATTGTGGCAAATGCTATTTTCTATCATGAGGAGGGTATTTACGTCTTTTTGCACATATGATTTAGGTGGTGGTTTTAATATCTCCCCTCTGAAGACTCGAAATGGAAGGCCAAGATCACAAGTTCAACATCTTATGCAAATTGATCTAAAGGGATGGGGAGTTGGTTATGTTTCATCTTTTCAGCAACATTGTTTGCTACAAATGTTAAATAGTGTTGCTGGTGAGTTTTTATTTATTTATACTCTTTGCATTTGTTATAAAATTTTTTTTTATACGATTTGATATTTGGTAATAGGATTGAGGGAATATTTTGCTCAATCTGATGAAAGAACTGCTCCAAGAATTCCTGTTATGGTTAATATGGCATCATGTTCTGCTCCTTCAAAAAAGTCAAACAAGATTCAGTTGACTTCTGTTCATAATCGAAGTCAATCTCTTGATAATGCTGCAAAAATGATGGATGAGTATTCAGATGAGGATGAAGATCTCCCAATCCCTGATGAAGAGGTAATTCTATTTTTTTCTTTCTTATTAAGACATTGTACTTCCGATTTAGGATGAATTCGTAACAAAATTTTGAAATCTGGGCCAAAAGTGTAAATTTTGGACCAAGTTTGTAATAAAATATAATATCTGGGCTAAAAGTGTAATTTTTGAAAGTGAGATGGGTAAAAGGGTCAAAATGAGTAGAATTGCTGGGTTTTGAGACTTAATTGAATAAAAAAAACATATAAGGACTAAATCGATTATAAGGCTAAAATATAAGGACTTTGAAAAATTATAACAGTGAGAATTGTTTTTGTTTATTTGTATTATATTTTCTGATTTTGTTTTTCAATGTTTTCAGGAGACGAAACGGACTGGTGGGTTGTTTTTGTCTGTGTTTAAATAAATAGAGACGAAAATACAATTTTTTTGTCTGTCTGTCTGTGCAAAAGACGTAAATGCCCTTGTACTGATGATGTAATTTACCATTATAGCCTTTGAAGAAGAACCCGTTGTTCAAATCGACTTTTCTTGCTTTTCGGGTAATCTTCGAAGAGATGATAACGAAAATGGGCGTGACTGCTGGAGAATATCGGATGGAAGCAACTTTAGAGTCCGTAGCAAACGTTTTTGCTATGATAAATCCAAGGTTTTTTATTATTATTATTTTTAATTAATATTTAATTTTCCGATATAATAAAATAATATTTGTAATTGAAGATGCCCGGAGGCAAACCGCTTATGGATCTTGTTGCTGTTGATTGGTTTAAAGACACGAAACGAATGGATCATGTTGCTAGAAGGCCTGGTTGTGCAGCACAAGTATGTTTAATCTTAATCTTTAATCTTTTATCTTTATATATTATAGACTACAATTCTGTAAATGTTTTTTTTTATTGTGTCGTGTGTAGATTGCGTCTCAAAAAGGACATTTCTCCATGGTGTTCAATTTACAAGTAAGCGGTTTTGAAATGTGGATATTTTAAATCGCGGAAAAATAATGTGATTTTTTTTTTATTTTAACTTTTGAAGGTGCCTGGTTCAACAAACTATAGTATGGTTTTTTATTTTGTGAGCAAGGAATTAACAACGGGATCTTTGTTGCAACGGTTTGTTGATGGTGATGATGAGTTTCGTAATAGTAGGATGAAACTCATTCCATCGGTTCCCAAGGTATTTATTATTTTATCCATAATCCTCTTCTTCCCTAATACTGCATTTGACATGCATCAGACTGGGACTCAGACTGATGTCAACGAGGCAAAAATTACAATCTTTTGTCCCACCCAAAAAAGTGGAGAACATGGTCGCGCTCTCAATCTCTCCTCTGTGCAAAAAGACGTAAATGCCCTCCTCATCCTAATCATCGGAAATAGTCGTAGAATAATTATATAGTCCCGTGTAACAAACATAGCCTTCGGCTATGTTTGTTACATGGGTCAAAACAAGCTTTCTAGGGCTAGTTTCGACGATGAGGATGAGAAGGGTATTTACGTCTTTTTGCACAGAGGAGAGATTGAGAGCGCGTCCATGTTCTCCACTTTTTTTGGGTGGGACAAGAGTTTGTAATTTTTGTCTCGTTGACATTAGTCTGAGTGTCGGTCCAGTGCATGCCAAACGCTGTACAACTTGTAATTATACATAAATGAAAATGCAGGGGTCGTGGATAGTACGACAAAGTGTTGGAAGCACCCCGTGTCTTTTAGGAAAAGCGGTTGACTGCAACTACATCCGTGGGGCCAATTACTTAGAAGTAAGTAATCTCCACTCTCTATCTCAATAATGAAATAAAGGGTGTGTTTGGTTGATGGGTTATGATGTTGACTTTTTTATTTTGACTTTCTCAGGTTGATGTTGACATTGGTTCCTCTACCGTGGCTAATGGCGTATTGGGTCTTGTAGTCGGTGTTATCACTAGCCTTGTGGTCGACATGGCTTTCCTTGTACAGGTATAACTTTTTCATCTCCTTTGTGGAAAAGACGTAAATACCCTCCTCATCCTGTTTTTTTTTTTTTTTTTCAGGCAAACACAACAGATGAGTTGCCAGAGCGGCTTATAGGTGCTGTTAGGGTTTCTCATCTAGAGCTATCGTCTGCTATTGTTCCAAAATTAGAACCAGATCCAAAACCTTCTTAAAAATCAAAGTACAAAAATATGATAAAATCTAGCAACAATTTACAAAGGGGGACAAAATTACAAAAAAGAAAAAAAAAACTAGTTACTTTGAAGTTAAGAATGTCAAAAAGCTGGATTATGACGAAAATCGATTTTCAATACTTTGAAGAGAAACTTGTTTGTGGTGGGAATTTTCGAATATGATTCAAAAGGGGAAAAACATGGAACACCCCCTAAAATCTTTTTAGGTTTTGATACATTTTCTTCTATATAAGAAAAAGAATAAGGGAACATGAAATTTGTATTAATTTATACGTACATAGTTGTGGAAGGGTTGGAAAATTAGTAGATGAAAAGCTTTTGTTCATGTTTTGGGTATACTTTTTGTTTTGTACTATTACATGATAACTTGATATTCAACATTTAATGTGAAGGAACATCGTGTATATAGAATGTCAAGTTGCATTCTTATTTGCATATTCCACTATGCCAAATATACTTGGTATGCTTTTTTGAGACAGGGTAGTGAGGGTAGTGGGTAAATGTTTTTACCACTAGGTCAAGGCATTAATTAATTTAATGGAAAGTAAAATATGAATATTAAGTTATTGAAGATATTATGTTTTGCTACAATCAAACTCACTAGTCACTACTATAAGAATAAAGAAATACTGGATCGTGTGCTTATGGTTACAATTGTGAGAGTGATCTTATTAAACTCTTTATATTTAAACTTTGAAAGGATTAATGTAGAAAAGTTTTATTATTTTGGAGAAAATTTTTAATAAGTCCTAAAAGTTTTTTTTTTGAACAGCCTGATTATTTAACATTTTGCCCAAATTAACGAAAAAGATTTTTTTTTTAATATTTGAACAGTAAATGACAGATTATATGATTTTCTCAAAATAATGAGACTTTTCTGTTAAAAAAAAAACTTTTAGAACTTTATCAAAAGTTTTCCCAAAATAATGAGACTTTTCCGCATAAAACTCAACTTTGAACTAGAGAAAATGACTTAATATGGTAACATATTTTTCGTTTTGTATACGTTTAGTTTTTAATATTTTTTTCTTGTAAAATAAGTCATTTAACTTGTTTTGTAGACATTCGGTCCTCATGACCGGTTATTATAGGTTATGATCGGCTACTCCATGTAAAGTTATCATTTTGTATACATTTAGTCCTTAATATTTTTATTTGTTGCAAAATAAGTCCTTATTGTTTTTATACACATTCAGTTTTTATGACTATGTTTTTATTCTAGGTTTTGTTCATATGACATCCTACGTGGGACAATCATTAATAAGGTGTTCTCATACATGGTTTATCACTCACTTATATTGATAACCTAATTCACGTATCGGTCAAATAATGAAAGTATCATAGTTTTCTTTAAGAAGATGTCTTAAGCTTCAGTTTGACCATTTTTCAGCAAATATGTTTTTTGTTCTTTTCAATTTGACCCCGAATTTTAAAGATGAGCTTGAAACTATTAAATATGTGTTTTCATGTCTCAACCACTTTGAATCACAAAATACTAAAACCCTAGAACGATTAGAATACTGTCGAAATGACTAAGGAGACGTGTATGTATCAACCACCTTGAATCGCAAAACACATGATTCCACTTCCCATACGATCCGTGTATGAGAACACTTCATTAATGATTGTCCTAAATAGGATGTCATATGAGCAAAACCTGAAAAAACTTATCGTAAGGACTGAATGTATATAAAAACAAACAAAGACTTATTTTGCAAAAAAATAACATTAGGTACTAAATGTGTACAAACTGAGAACTTAACCTGCAGTAATCGCTTATAAGGACTGGATGTGCACAAAAACAAAAAGTTTAAGGGCTTATTTTACAGAAAAACACAATAAGTACTAAACATATACAAACCAAAAACTATATTATCCTTTTAAGTCATTTTCCCCTTTATAACAATAGTTTAGATGGAGGACCAAAAGGGAAACAACAAATGAATCTTGTGAACAAAAAGTGTAACATTTTTCAAACATCTAGGACCAAACATGTAATCTACTTTTTTTTTGTTTTTGTTTTTTTGTTGGTGTTGCTGCTTTTGTCGTCAACTCTAAAGGGGAGGTTTGACTTTCTACATTCATCACCTATTCACCTCCCATCTTTTCTATTTAATCATGGCATTAAAAACATGCAAACAACTATATTGTTTTTATCTAAAATTAATTTACTTTGTATACATCGTGTTTTAGATTCTTTGTAGTGCAAGAGAAAAATGATTATCCATGACCATGAATTATTACAACTCTTGATCAATGATTATCCATGACCATGAATTATTACAACTCGATTAAAGCATGCATGCAAGAAAAATTAATGGAAATGGAATATGGGATAGGGTATGTGAGTGTGAGTGTGTCACCTCTCATGATATTGAGAAAGTCTTGCTCGGAGAGAGATGATTTTTCGAGTTGTTTTCTGTTGAGTTTTTCCCAGAGTTCAACAACTTCTCTCTGAGAAAGAATGTTTTCCGAAGGTCTTATGTAGACTGTCTTATTACAAGTTCGTGGATCGTTTATGGTTCTGATTGTATACGCAGCTATGTCATCTTCATCAACAAATATCGCTACACAAACACAATATTGATTCCTTTTATTAATATTTAAACACACACACACACAAACACATATAGATGTCGAAGTTATAACGTACACTTTTTATTGCCATCTCCAAGCAAGAGGACGGATTCCCTCGAAGGAAGAATATGGCCAGGTTGACATAATCCACCGACCATATAACCCGCAAAGCAATTTGCAGATACGTAGGTGAAAGGAATCCCAACATCTTCTGTCACAACTAGCATTTTGGCTAGGAAATTCTATCTATATTTAATCGATACTTGATGTATCTTGTAACTTCAAGTTTAAGGATATACATGTTATTCATTTCAAGAACAACTTTTCAAGTCAAAACTCATCGTGAAGCCCAAAACCTAATCCTATACATTTCATACACTCTACTTGGGGTTGTAACCCTAATTTCCCGGTTCAAACAATTGTTGGGCCAGGAATCATTTATTGGGCCTAATGGGACAATAAACCCACAACCTAATTATTTTGGATTAAGAATACACATTTGGGCCCTAATTTGACTCACATTCACTAAGTAATTGATTTTGGGCTACAAAACTCTTCATGTGCCTTAATGGGCCGTAAACACTATTCTGAACATCATTGAGCCGTAAACCCATTGTTTTACCCCTTTTGGGCCGTGAACTCACAAGAGGGCCCAATGGGCCGAAAAATTTAATTTGGGCTACCCCAAACTCGGTTGATAATCCATATGAGCCCAACAATTATTCATTCTTTCCCTTATCTCCCCTCTCATTCTCGGCCATTTAGAAAAAAGGATAAGAGGGTGATTAGTACATTGCCACCTCATTAATAATCATTAGGTATCACTAATATTGTTTAACATATATTTATGCAACTAACTTAGATCCTCCATGCAAAAACCATTTCACCCTCCCTCTTCTCTTCTCACTCTCGGCCATAAGAGCCCACACCACCACCACCTTCATTTTACTCTTAAACACCAACAATTCTCTCTAAGAACTCTCAAGAAAAATCTCATATTTCCCTCTCCAAATTCGTTTGTGCTTGTGTGTGTGTTCAAGAAAACTTCATCAAAGACCATCATCTTGGTAAGCTACTTCCACTCAAGGTGTTTAACTTCATGTTCATGTTAAACTTACTTCTCTTAACACTCAATTTCATGATCCATGTTCCTTAGGACCCCATAAGTTCGATATCTACTCAAAGGAGCTTCCTAGGGCCGAAATCTCTCTCATTTCTTCACCAAAAACCGAATCTATCAACCCAAAGTGAGTTCATACCCCTATTTTCGGTTTTATATTGTTTTTGGGGGGAGGATACAAGTTGCCTTGTGTTAGATCTATGTGTTTATGTCTGTATATGTGTGTTTTATGTTATATGATGTGGTTTTACTATAAAAACTTGTTGAAACATCACAAAACTCGACATATTCACTAAACATGGTGATATTTGCAAACTAAAAAGATTACATATAACATACTATGAAGTGAAATGAGAAAACATGTTGAAGAACACTAGAAAACTAAATAAATTCGTGTAGAGGGCCATTTTTGACAAAACAAACAAAAAGGTGAGATTCTTATGTAACTCACGATTTTGTGAGGACCAAAATGGGTCGTTTTTTTAAATAAAATGAATTTTTATGATGTTCATAGTGTTAAAAGGGACAAAAGTGTAATTTTCACAAAATGGGCCTCAAATTGGGACTTCACGGCTTCATGGGCTAAATTTGTAAATTTTTTACCTTTGAGGATTAAATTGTCATTTTAAACAAATTTGAGCCAAAAAATGTTAATTTTCGGTTAAATGGGCTGAAAATGCCAATCTCATTAAATTTGGGCCGAAAGGGTAAAACTATACACAATTGGGCCGAAAATGTCAATTTTTATAAAATTAGGCCGAAAATATCATTTCTAACAAAAGTGGCCCAAAAATGCTATTTTATTGGAAATAAGCCCTTAAATGTAAACTTTTGGTCTTAAGGGACCTAAAGTGTCATTTTTACCAAAAATGAGCCTAAATTGTAAATTTTCGGTCTAATGGACCAAAAATGTCATTATTACAAAAAGTGGGCTTTTTATGTCATTTTGGTAAATAATTAAGCTAGAACGAACAATACAATAACAAACGAGTTAATTACGTCATTTTCACTTTTATCGGGCATGAAATATAATTTACATGTTTAGTGGGCCTTCGTTGTCCTTTTACATGTTAATTGGGCCTGGAATAAACATTGCAAATTTATTGGGCCTTAGTGGTCCATTTACATACTTATTGGGCCTGGAATATACATTACATGTTTATTGGGCATTTGTGGTCCATTTACATGTTTGTTGGGCTTCACACATTCACTTATATACTCGTTGGGCCTTGTAAACTTAAAACATACACGAAAACATTATTCACTACGCTACATAACGAAATTCAGTATTCGTGTAAATTCGGTTAAGGCTCTTGTGAGACACTTCATTTGTTCGTACCTATCTAGTGTACAACCGTAGCCTGTAGTTATAACCAGAGTCTCCTGGAGGAAGAGCGAAAGTTTGTGTATGGATCTATACGGGGGTTGACACCCCACACCTGAGCTGTTCGCTACAGTTAGACTAGGACAGTCTAAGGTGACAAACCTTACCTTAAACAAGTCGGCATCTGAAAAACGTCATGACGGGTAGACCAGTCATTATCAAGTATGGTTATAACGACTCACAAAGAAATTAACGCCATTGTAAAATTTACGAAATACATAAACAATTCTACAATTACAATTCTATACAAATACCAACTCATGGTCTTTGAGTTTT